TTGGCTTATCTTTTTATTTTTGTAAAATTGGGGCTTTTGAAGTGCAAAAGTCTTAAATTTTGATGAAGTCCAATTTACTGGTTTTATCTCTTATAATTTATGCCTTTTGTGTCATATTAAGAAATTTTGTTAAACCTAAAGCTACGGATTTTCTACTACAATTTCTTCTAGACGTTTTAGCTCTTAAATTTAGATATCCATTTAAAATTAAATCTTTAAAAGCTTTATTTTGAAATAAATTTGGACTTACAGAAAAGCTACAAAAATAGTACAGACAGTTCACACATACCTTTCACCCAGGTTCCCCCCATGTTAACAACATAATCATAGTACAATTATCAAAACTGGGAAATTAGCATTTATTAATAAGCTATAGACTATATTTAAATCTCACTGATATTTTCCTTATTGTGCTTTTCCTGTTCTAGGATCCAGTCCAGGATCCTACACTGCATATATAATTTCCTTTGTCTCCCCTAGTCTGTGACAGGTTCTTAATTTGTCATGTGTTTCCTCTTAGTTTTATATATGGTGTGAGGTAAGGATCAAGATTTGATATGGTGTTTTTTGTTTGTTTTGTTTTGTTTTGCATATGGCTCTCTAATTGGTTCAGCATTTGTTGAAAAGACTATCCTTTCCCTAGTTGAATTGCTCCAATAACTTTGCCAAACATCAGTTGAGCATATTTGGATGAATCTCCTTATACACTCTATTCCACTGAGATATCTATGTACCTATTGTACACAGAATTGTCTTGCCTTTTTAGTTTCCCTCACCCCTCCGGTACTGGGAATTGAATCTAGGAGCATCTTGCCACTGAACTACACCCCAGATTCTTTTACATATAAAGGTTGGGTTGTGGGATATAGCTCAGTAGTACAGCATTTGCCTAGCACGTATGAAGTGGGTGCTAGTGTTTGATCCCAGTACCACCAAAAATAAATAAGTAAAGGAAAATAAATAAATCCAAATGTTTAGGTTATACCTCATATGAATTAAAACAGTTGCATAAGGTAGAAGAAAAGAGAATACAGTGTATATTCAAAACACAATATAATTCCTTTGAACTAATTAGAAATATTAATTAGAGTAAGATCCCACTATAATTAGAAATTTTAATTAGAATTAGGTCCCATTCACACTAGTCTTCAAAAAATTACTGAATGAGAATTTCAGCTATACTCAGTGATCTAATTTATGTTTATAAAAATGTATGTTTCTGTGTGTTTACAATTATGTATGGAAATGAACAGAAAATATTCTGGAAGTCTGAGACAGGTGCTTTTGCAGGAGAGGGGAAAAGGATGGAAGGAGGATGAAGGAGGGTTTGTCTGTGTCCTTTGAATTTCTTTCAGTGACAAGGTCCTAATGCAGTATTTATATAAAACAAAACATGACAAAACAGCAAATATATCCCACTTGGTCCAATTACAGATATTACTTGTGTATGTATAGAAAATGTCTCAAAAGATGATCACATAACTTTAATAGCAATTATGTATAGAGGGATTTCAGATGATTTTCACTGTCATTCTTTTTTTAGTGTTGTTCAATGTTTTCTAGTGAACATTTTTTGAGCATTGTTATTTTTATAATAAAAAAGTAAAAATACATCCTTATTTTGAACAGAAACAGAATGGAGGGAATGCTGTTCATGACGTGAACAGGACACTTTTAAGTCTAAGTTAGGAGAAATAGAATATTAAGAAATGGAAAAAATAGATCGTGTTCCTATTTATACTTTGTAATATTATTCACATAATAAAGATAAATCTTCCCAGGCTATAAATAGCTTACTATAATACCAATTAACTTTTCAAAAGAAGAAACTTCCCATTAAAATATTTATTTCCTCCTCCCGTTATGAAAACCTCTGATCATAGTCAAACAAATGAAAAAAATATAGAGGGAAGGAGCCCTCCATTTTCCACAGGACAAGGAACTTCCACAGCACCAAACCAGAGCCCATGAAACAAACCTGCTGTTTACATGGGATGAGAACTGGAACAGGAAAGGGAGGTGCCAGGTACACCCAGGGTGGGACCAGGTCTCTGTAAAATTCTATGGTGGAAGCTTGGTTGATGGTGCTTTGACTTCACGTAGAAGACATGGTAGCACAGGCTGGCTTCCAGAGACTGGGGCATGTGGGGGCAGAGGTCCTGTAGAGAGCAGCCAGTTCTAGAGTGGCAGAGAGGATGGGCTACATGTGGGGATGGTGAGGAAAGAGGAAGTGGAGACCAAGGGAAGGAGGAAGCAGAGACCACCAGATTGCACCAGGGACCCATGTGTCTCGGCCGCATGGACTTCCTGAACACCAAAACATCAGAGAGATGATCCCCAAGAAAAAGAAAACAACTGAAAGGGTGTTTGAGACAAAAAACCACCACCAGCAACAACAACAACAAACAAACAAACAAACGAAACTATTATATCTGAAGGATCTTAGTTTTCTCCAATCCCCAACTTCCTTCTGCTTTCTTCATACTGTTATTCCATCAGTAGTAGACCCCATTCAAAGATAAGTAATAATCAAAAGGGGATTTATGCCTAGAAATTGCCGAGAAAGAAAATATACACAAAAGGCTGATTAAAAAACACACACACACACACACACACTAAAAGGGAGTTACCTAATGAAACAGAAAAGATGTTCAGATAAATTCTCTGTATTCTCAAAGAAAATTCAGACAATACCATTTCTATAAAATGATTCCAAAGGAAACACCTAAAAGTCCAAAGAGCTGAGCCAGGTACAGTGACACATGCCTGTAATTCCAGCAACTCGGGAGGCTGAGGCAGGAAAATTGCAAGTTTAAAGCCAGTCTCAGTAATTTAGTGAGACCCTCAGCAACTTAGTGAAACCCTATATCAAAATAAAAAAAATAAAAAGGACTGGGGTTGTTGTTCAGCAGTAAAGCACTCCAGGGTTCAATCCCCAATACATGCCCCCACCCCCCAAAATGGTTTTTTTTCCCTTCAACAAAGAGGTTACAAAATAGCAGAAAGAGGTAAAAAGTAAACTAGTAGATGCAGGATAAAAATGGAAGAGTAAACCATGATAGAGATGGGATCTATGTTAGAAGCAACAGAACATAAGATAAAAATAACTAGTTCAGCACATGGGGGACAGACTCCTGGAAATCACACAAAATGAGACGAACAACAAACCCTACAACTTGCTAATGATTATGGAGAAAATTAATATTGTTAAAGAAAACCAAGAAAAGAGAGGTTGTCGTTTCTGAAGGTGAATAGTCACTTTTGAAGAAGGAGGAAAAAAAGGAATTAAATATGATTTTTTTTTCAAAGTTAAACAGAGCTTCCTTGAAACAAGGATGATTTAAATCTTCTGATCAAAAGGCTATACATATTCCGAGAAAAGTTGATATAGATTGTTCAACACCAAGATATATCTTACTGAAGTTAAGAAACACCAAGGATAAGGAAAAATCTCACATGGGTGTCCAGTTAGGAAACCATGTGCAGAGAGAAGAATCAGAAGACAGAGGACCAACATCTCAAATGTTCTGAAGGAAATAAAACACGACTCAAGGACTTTATATACAACAATAAAGACAACAGACAGACTGTGAGGATGGCCTTAGCCTAAGCAACTCCATTTTAAATAAACCTGCAGTCTCACCCGGCACCAGCCACAGAGCCCTCCAATATGTCAACAGCCTGATAAAGACATGTAACTTTCCACAACCTGATGAGAGTCAGAGTGAAATCACATGTCATTTGCCTTCGCCCTGATAAGAGTCAGAAGTGTAAGATCAGGGAGGAAATCACCAAACCATATGTCCTGAAATGTAAAATGTCACTAAGAAAACTGGTAATAGCTCATAGGGACCCAAAGGGGAGCAGAATTCCAAAATTTAGTATAAAGGTGGAGCAAATGAATAGACATTAGAGCTAGCCAATACTGATGCACACACACTAGAGAGCCTGATGAGGACCTGGACTGACATCCCAACTCTCTTCATCATCTACCTGATCCTCTGCATCATCCGCTCCGCTCTTAAACTCTACAGCAGCCTCCTAACCCTAGTGAGAATGGTGACATCTCCTTACAATTGTCTCCTCAACTGGCTGTCAACTCCACATCAGGAGAAGCCTCCATGAGTTCCTGACCTGATCACTGCAGTCTGAGTGAGTGTGCATCTGCTGGACTTAAGGCCTAAGACTTGAGACTAGATCTGGCACTTGAGCTTATCATGCAGAGGGAACGTCTGTAATAGGTCTGTCATGATTAAGTGTATTTGCAGTGCTTAGAGTTGACTTAGAATTGTTTGTTTTGAATTGATTATGTCTATTACCGTGCCCATCATTAAAGATTGTCATTTTCTTGATTAAGAACCTATAGAGTGAAATTCTATTGAGTGATTTGAGTGAATAAAACTTTGAAAAGGGCAGAAGTGCATGGACATTCTTTATTTCTCCCCTCAACTGCCTAAGTTGTGTCTTTGCCCACCGTGGCACAGACAGTCTCAAACATGTAAAACCTCAGGAAATAAAAGACCCAGGAACTTTCTGGAAAAACATGAATAAAGTGCATCCAACCAAGAGATGTGTCAAAATAAATTCTAGAATGAAGAACCTGGGTCTCTTGGTTTCCTAGGAATGCCATAACAAATACCATAGATCAAATGTGTTAGAACAGCAGAGATTTGTTGCCCCAAGTGATGGAGGCCAGAAGTATGGAAGCAAGGTGTTCAGAGGCAGGCTCCCTCTGAAGGAGCTAGGGAAGGATCCACCCTGCCTCCTCCAGCTCCGATAGGCAGGCATATTCCTTGGCTTGGGGAAACTGACTGCTCTTCACTGTATTATCCCTGGTGTCTTTTCGCATCGTCTTTCTTCTGTGCCTGTGTCTAATTTTCCCCTTTTTATAAGGATTAGTCATTTGGATTAGGGCCCACTCTTATGACCTCATTTTAATTTGGTTACCTCCATGAAGATCCTATTTCCAAATAAGGTCACATCTTGAAGATTCAACATACCTTCTCTTGGTGGGGAAGGCACAATTCCATCCATAACACTGGGGTAACACAGGTGTGGTCAGTACTGAGTCCACTAAAGACAGAGCAAAAACTAAACAACAGAAAGATATGGTTAGACAGCAAAATGAAACGAGGTGAACACTGCCAAAGGAATATAATAAAAATCAAGAATAGAGTCAGGCAGTGGGCTGAACTATGTGTGGATAATTCCTCACCTTTCATAATAGAAAGTCAATAGACATTCATTTCAAATTGAAAATGATCTTTTAAAAAAAACAATTGTATATTCAGTCTTCTAATGTTTTTCTTAATTCTAGAATGATATCTTTGAGGAACTATTATATCTTGTACTGATGAAGCAACCAATTTAGTAATTCTGAGTGTTTCTTCTGTTTTTCTGATGTTAAATTCAAGTAAAATTATATTTAGTTTTTTAAAAAATCTAAAACAGTATGCAGAATACCATCCTATTTTTAAAATTGTATTTGTTCATCCATCCACTCATTCATCTACTGAGTCTCAAATCATATTTGATAAATGTGGGGATGGTTATCTCTGGGCAGTGAGGATTTACAGTAAAGGGTCTAAAAAAAACTGATGTACTTTTCTATATAATTTGAATTTTTTACAAGAATATGTGTTATTTTGAACAAAAACAACAAAGTCATTCTTCCGCCTTTCTCCACCAAGCCCCTTCCTGCCAAAAGCTTTCTCTGTAGGCATTGGGGGTGCCGAGAACCATGAGATCAGTCCATGTCCCAGCCAATGTGATGTTTCTGGGTGTTAAGGGAACTTCCTAAACCTGGGGCTTGCTTCACACTACTGTGGCAGAAAACTCCTTCGACAGCAGATGCCGCCACATGTGTCAAGAACTTTATACAGTCATGCTCAACACCCAGAGAAGCCCCATGACCTCCAAGTTCAGCAAAATGAGTCAGACTTGCCCTCTAATTTCTGAGAGAAGCTAGCATTCACTTTATTGCGACAGCAAAAAAGTCAGTGCTCACATAAACCAATCAGGAAGTTGCCTGTGTTCTGGGGCCCGCTACCAAGAGGGCTGCTCTGTGTGTCCTGAGCTCACAGCCATGTGACCAAGTCCTCCACTCTCCTCGAGGCCCGATTTTTCAACAGGAAAGGCATCTGTACATAATGGTTGTCATCATATTCACAAATTATTGTTCCTCCTCTTCTATCTGGTTGTCCCCTAATGTTTGGCAGGAAATGTATCTTTTATTACTTTTCTTCCTGTGCTTTCTTGGGAAACCAGGAAACTTCCCTAGCAACAACAAAAATCAAAAAAAAAGTGGAGTCTGTGCCATAGGGCAGGGGATCACATGTCTCCAGGGGACAGACTCAATAGACAGGTTGTCATAGTAACATAGAAACAGAGGCAGGTGGTAAGCCTTCAGTGAATGCTGAGCAACGGGGAACCTAGCAGGAGCCCATAAGGGCAGCACCTGCCAGCTACTGACTGAGACCCTTCTTGGAAAATATTGTCTATGTTTACTATTTGCTTTTTTCTTTTAAACAGAAAGATTACTATTAAACATACATAAAATCATTCATGAAAACATACAGAAAATCAATTCATTTCAAATAACTACAGGTCATATTGAGAATCTAAGTTCTATAATTGTTGCAATCTGTCCGTCTCCTCTTTGCTCTCTAGATACTTCTAAGATTGGTGCTAATTATTCAAGGAGTCTGGGTTGTCTCTGAAGTCCCATCTATCTAGACAAAGCAGAAGGGACCATCTTACCACCCACTGCCCTAACCTTTGGATTACCAGTGCTCTCCTTACTCACACTAACTTCTTCACACAAAATAATAAATATAGCTCTAGAGACCTCTGTTTATTAAAAACGTGGTTTCATTCACTCAGTGAAGGTAGATTAGAATCCCTTCTCATCACCACATCCTACCATCTGCCTCTTAGCTCACCACAGAGGCTGATGGCAGTCTCTGCCTTATTCGTGGCTATGACTTTAGCCATCGGTTACATTTCCTGACAGAGCCTCTGTAGCCCAGAGAAGGGTGCTCCTGAACAGAAGTGAGACCATTCTGGAAGCCCCAGAGAGGAAGTTGACTGAGACTTGCAATACTTCCCTGGTTTCGTCAGAAATTATGGCCTCAAGGGATCAGCAGATGCTGTCTGCAGAGAGGAAGTTTGACTGCTCTCCCTGCTGGTCACATCCCCTCAAAGGACTTTCTCTCCCCAGAGAAAAAATGGAGAGATATAGCTATTCTTCCCCTTTGCACCCAATGATGTCAGCCTGCAGACAATTCTATGTGAAAATGAAGACTAAGAGTCCTCAAGTAGACTCAGCGTGAACTTAAGAGGAATCCCCGAAATGCTTGGATGTGTCCTGAGAACACAAATGGAGCCAACTCATTGAGCTCTGGACTTGGGAGTTTTCATCTTTCAAGAACATACTTCCTTCCTGTATTTCTAGTAACTACTGTTTCTGACTTTTCTGGAAATCCCACCAGGCACCCTGATTCTCTTTTCCATAAGAATTAAGTCACAAAAATAGAACCATGAGAAAAGTTAGCTCGACCTCTTTGCCCTCTGAAATGTGCTGGTGGAAAGAGCCTGGGGCAAGCAGGGAAGGGCAGAGCCTTTCTAGCCATTCTTTCAGCTCAAGGAAAAACAAACTGAAACACAGAATAAAGAATATTTTAAAATAGTTATCCACAGGAAAGGGAGTTTGGAGGGAAAGCGTATATACTGGGACTACTTTAGTATTTGGGAAAGGAGTTTTTAATGTGAGATCCATGAATTGGCTTTGATAGAATATATGTTTTTGTGTCTGTACATTTTTCTAAGGAAAGGGTCTATATTTTTTTTATAAATTCTAAAAGAAGTCCCTGGCCCATCCCCACCAAAAAGTAAGACTTACTCACTTAGAGGATAACCTAGCTAAACTAGTTATTTATTGCTATGTAGCAAATTACCTCCAAACATCTGGGTAACATAACTAATATTTGTTATCTCACAGTTCATATAGGTCAGGAATTTATGACAATTTAGCTGAGAGATTCTATTCCATCATGGTCTTTTATGAGGTTGCTGTCAAGAAGTCAATAAAGGTTGTCATTATCTGCAGACTTAACTGGGCTAAAGAATGGTTATCCAAGATTATTGTCTCACATGGCTATTGGCAGGAGGCCTCAGTTTCTTGGCATATGGATCTCTCCACGGATCTGCTTGAGCATCCTCACAACATGGCAACTGGCTTCCCCCAGAGTGAGTGACCAAGAGAGAAAGCAAGAAGGAAATAAAAAATGCCTTTTATGACTATATCAGAAGTCATACATTGTCCTTCTATCACATGCTAGCCAATAAAAACACAGTCCACTCTCAAGGGGAGAAAATTAGGCTCCACTTTTTGAAGGGAGAAATATCAAAGAATTTGTGAAATATTTTGAAATTACCAACTAATAAATAGGCCTTACTTTATAGTCTTGATGAGAAGCAAATTTCTCTCCCTCTGTTCATTCCTCCCCTTTCTACCACCAGATCATTTTTCAGAATTTGGGGCTAACCCAGGGGTGGAGGGCTTCTCTATGATCTTGAAACTACTAAATTTTGGTTTCAAATTTTTCATAGGGATAATAATAACACCTACTTCATAGAATTGTTGTATGAGGATTAAATGAAATTCTAGATTAATAACTGCTAAAAAAAATGTTAGCTATAACAATGGTAAGCCCCACCCCCATGCTAATCTAGAGATTTCCAGTTCTATTCAATAGAATCATACATTTATGGATTATAAATCTTCAAAGAAGGGTTAGAATTATTTATGGAGGGCTGGGGATGTGGTTCAGTGGTAGAGTGCTTACCTAATATGCATGAGGCCCTGGGTTCAATCCCTAGTACTACAAAAAGAAGTGATTATTGATATTTACTTTGTGGAATAAGAGCTACAGGGCAGAGAGATACAAAAGAAGTTAAAAACACACTTGTAGTCCATAGTTCTAAAATCTGATTGAAATTATATATATTCATAAAAGAAAAGGATGTTTTAGAAATGCAGTGACACCATCTCTTTGTTGAACAAGAGAAATTCCCTGCCTTGAGTGTAATTTTGAAGATGAGATTCAGGCCAAAGAACATGAATAAATATTTGATTGAAAAGGTATGCTAAAGTTTGAAGGGGAACCATAGAAAGTGTTTCAGGGACCATTTCAAAAAAATAAAAGAGAAAAGAAGAATTTATGAAGTAAATAATTCAGACAAAGAAATAGACTTAAAGAAGATGAAAAAGAACAGATATTTCTCCAATGGAAGAACTAATTTAAACCATGGTGATCCCCAAAGGAGAAATTTTGTCACATTTATCAATCTATTTGTTGGAAAAGAAAGATATTTTGTTAACCCTTACAGCATAAGAACAGTGTCTATTAGGCTTCTATAATCTTAAGACAGTTATAGCTACTGCAGATACGTTTAAAAATTACTAAGAAAACGCTTCTCTGATTCAGAGTTTAGGTGAAAATATTAGCTGGCAAACATCCCACAAATCTGATTCCTTCCTGCTCAGTTGTTTTGCTTGTCCCCTGTGGTAAAAGGAACTCAAAAAAGTTAGATTAATATGACACATGATTGTTTTGGGGACTCCAATTACTAAGCATTCAAATAAGGGGAGATCCTTGCACTAAAATAACCTCTGTTGAGTAACAAGTAGAAGAAAGTAGCATTTCATATGGTTTTATCCCCAAAGGCAATTTTGACTACAAAGAAATCATTCATTCTGGGTCAAATCAAAGGTCATGAAAGGGACCCATAAAAACACTTTATTTGTCCTGAAAATTTTGTGAAATTATTGAATTTGATTGCCAGTACTTAAAAATCAGTTGCCATTCCCACAAACATCTGGATTTGTAGCCTCTCATGAAAAAAAAAAAAAAATTCAATCTGGCAGCTCTAGGTCTGCATTCCTGGCTGAATTGAGGCAGGTAGAATGGAGGAAACATTATATCCAGACAGGCATTTCCTCTCCAGCTTGCTGCAGTCCCCACCATGCCCTATCACTTTCCAACACTAAGGCCCAGTCGTCACACATCATCTCAACTGCACCACTGTATTTCTTAGCATCATGGTTCAGGAGATGGGCTAGGGAAGCAGATAGTTTAGTGTCGAATCTGGTGCATTAACTTTCTACTTATGTGGCTTTGGAAAAGTTGCTTAACTTTTCAGCCTGGGCTTTCTTATCTGCAAATTGACATTAATACTGATTTCCTCCTCATATAGGGTTGCTGTGGGGATTTAAATGCTTTAGACAGCATCAAATAAGTGTCTTGGAGAGAGATGTGGCTCCACCTCATCCTCTTTAATCTTTTGTTACCCACCTGGCCTCCTGAAGGCAATGAGTTTACAGTTTAAATAAATATGTGATTACCATTTTAATGGTTAATAATGGATTATTAACCAAATTGAACATGTCCAGAAGATTTTCCTTACCTTTGAAAATCACTTTATGGGACACTCCTTAGCTATTCTCATCAACAAAGCCTTGAAACATGATCCCAAGAGGATCACAGAACTGCATCTCTGCCCAACGCAGCCCTGGGCTCAAATCTTCATCAAAAGACACCACATACTCCTAACAAGACAAATAGGAGAAGACACTGATGACACTTATAGCAGCAAATAAGTGGTATCCAGAATAACACAAAGAACTTCTAGAAGAAGTTAAGAAATAGACAACCAGTTCATATAAAAAGAGGCAAAGAGATGACCATATGATTCACAGAGGAAGGAATGGAAATAATCAATAAATGCATTTTCAGATGCTCAGTACCCTAGTAATCTAGAAAATAAAGGTTAATATTAACAAAATTTCTTTTCATACCCATCATATTGGCAAATATCCAGTAGTTTAACAATATCACCTAGTGTTATTTGCATCAACCAGTTGAATTTAGATTGACCCATCCTCTCTGAAGAGTGGTTTGGAACTCTCTAGAGAAGCTGTTTATCCAAGGTTTCAGAAATTCCACTCCCAGGAATAAATCCTAGAGAAACCCTTGCAGAAATTCATGAGACAGGTACAAAAACCACTCATGGGCATATTATTTGTAATATCCCCAAACTGATAATAAACTAAATGTTCACTGGCAGAATAAAGTATGACATATTCATAACAATGGGGTAACACAGATTCCACAGGCATCAATAAGAATGAGTCTCAGGTTGGGGTTGTGGCTCACCAGTAGAGCACTCATCTAGCATGTGTGAGGCTTTGGGTTCGATCCTCAGCACCACATAAAAATAAATAAATAAAATAAAGGTATTGTGCCCAACTACAACTAAAACATAAATATTTTTTTTTAAAGAATGAGTCTCAAAACATCAGACACTACCCACGGTGGCTCACACCTATAATCTCAACAATTTGGGAAGCTAAGGCAGCAGGATCAGAAGTTCAAGGCCAGCCTCAGCAATTTAGTGAGACCCTGTCTCAAAATTAAAAATAAAATAAGGTCCAGGTGTCTAGCTCAGTGGTAAAGTGCCCCCTAAGGTCAATTCCAATCCAAAAATCTCCACCATATTAGGCACAAAAAGCCTAACATATAAGATAGCATGCAAAGCAGTACAAACAGTCTCAACCTAAGAATTTTTTTTTAACTTTACAAGGGTGCAAAAGCAGTATGCATTTGGTAGAAACTAATCTTTGAATTTTGAATATGAATCTTTCCCCAGGCTGATGGTAAATGGCACCACACCCCCTCAAAACTCACTGTGACTGTGAGTCACAGTGCCCTGTCAGCCATTCAATCCCAAGAGTGAGCAACAGAGACTCGAGGGTGAACTGTGTTGCTAACATTTTTTGGACACAAGTTTTCAATAAGTGATATGAAATATTCAACAATTTCTTATCAAATAGACTTTGTGCTAGTTGGTTTTGCCCAACCATACAGGCTAAGGTAAGCCTTCTGAGCATATGTAAGGTAAGTGAGGCTAAGCTATAATATTCAGCATTTTCAACTGGTATTGGGATGTCACCCCATTGTAAGTCAAAGAACATCTGTGTGACATATTGTTGGGGATACATGCATAAAAATGTATGGCAGCCAAGTGTGGAAGCACATGCCTATAATCCGAGTGATTCAGGAGGCTGAGGCGGGGAGATTGCAAATTCAACAAGAGCCTGGGCAATTTAGCAAGGCCCAGTCTCAAAAATTAAGGAAAAAAAATGGAGATGCACTGGGGGTATAGCTCAGTGGTACAGCACCCAGGGTTCAATTCCTAGTATCACTCCCCAAACTGGGCATGGTGGTGCACACCCGTAATTCCAATGGCACAGGAGGCTGAGGTAGGAGGATCACAAGTTCAAAGCCAGCCTCAGCAACAGTGAGGCACTAAGCAACTCAGTGAGACACTGTATCTAAATATAATACAAAATAGGGCTAGGGATGTGGCTCAATGTTTGAGTGTCCCTGGGTTCAATCCAGGGTACCTCCTCAAAAAAAAAAAAAAAAAAAAAAAGAAACCTAGTACTATCCCTCCAAAAAAACTCATGGGAATAAAAAGAATACCAAAATTAGGATATTGATTAGCTCTACAAAGCAGAGAGGGAAATGAAACCAGAGTTGGGTTTGCAAGGGGCTTGAGCTATATTAGAAATGCTTTATTTCTTGAGTTTGGAAATGATGACCAGTTGTGCATTGTATCTGTCCTTATACCTTTTATATTTATTAAATATGATAAAAACAAATTTAAAAATAGATAACATGTTAGTTTCTAGTTTTCAGTTTTCCTGTCAGTTAATTTAAAAAAAAATTTTCCAGGTTGTATTAATTTCTTGTAGACATATAGCAAATTATCAAAAAGATAGTGGTACAAAAGAGATTATTATCTTGTAGTTCTGGTCCCCTCCTTCATCTTCAAAACCAACACCACACCATCTTCAAATCTGTCTCTCTATCCGGTTTCTGTCATCACATTTCCCCTGATCAGCGCTGCCTGTCTTCCTTTTATAAGAATCCTTTTGATTGCGGTGGGTTCACCAACATAATCCAGGGTAATCTTCTCACTTCTCAAGATCCTTAACTAATCACATTTGAAAAATCCCTTTGCCGAGTGAGGCATTAGGATGTAAACAGCTCCGTGGGGCATTTGGCTGCCCATCACAGATGCCTGAAATATTTTGGTATGCCCCAGTGCGGTGCTCTTGTGGCTCTGGGAAAAGCCCCTATCCTGTGTAACTCTTAAATATCTGAGTTGGTGGTGTCCCTGCCTGATAGAGACCCAGATGACCAGAAAGTAGCCAAAAGGCGAACCCCAGAATAACAGCAGAGACTGGAAACTCCACAGCTGGAAAGAGCAGGCGGGTCTCAAAAACTACCCGAACAGTTAGGTCTTGAAATTTCTTCTGAGCAGCTGGATCAATTTTAACACATAAATCTGGTCACATCGCTCTCCTGGGTAAAACCCCTTCATGACTCCCCCTGGGCTTCAGAATAAGGAACAAAGTCCTTAGTGTGGCTCTAGAAAGTTTCCCAGCCTCTGTCCTATTAATTCTCTCTCTTTCTCTCTCTCTCTCTCTCTTTTTTTTTTTTTTTTTTTTTTGTGGTACCAGGGATTGAACTCAGGGCCACTCAACCACTGAGCCATATCCTCAGCCCTATTTTGTATTTTATTTAGAGACAGGTTCTCACTGAGTTGCTTAGCACCTTGCTTTTGCTGAGGCTGATTTTGAACTCATGATCCTCTTGCCTCAGCCTCCTGAGTCACTGGGATTATAGGCGTGTGCCACCACACTGGGCCCGTCCTATTGAATTCTTTATCGGAATCATTCTTTATTGACAGGGGCTGTTCTGCACTTTGCAGGATGTTTAGCAGCATCCCCGAAGCACCCTCCCCTGCCCAAACCCCCAACACACACTTGTGACAACCTTGCCAAAAGTCTCCGGAGGACAGGAAGCCTGTTCTGGGAAGTCCTACAGGATCTGGCCTATTTTCCCACCCTGGAGTCTCTTGTTTAGCCACCTGAGGGACAGCTCAGCTGAATATAGCCCCTCCAGCCTCAAGACTTCTGTGTACAATTCCTCTCCAGGACTGCCCTCCCGATCTCTTGTCATCTGGCAAACTCTTTATGTCTCAGTCAAATGTCTCCTACTCAGGGTCCCTTCCCTGTCCCTTTCTTTAAAGCTGGTTACTATGGGCTGCAGCAGCCCCTACCCCACCCTTCTACCAAGCCCCCCTTCACAGCTGCTTTCTCCATACAATGCCACCTCCAGGAGGGCAGGGACCACAGATATCTCATCCTCTCACAGTGCCCGTGAGTGGCAGCTACTGGGTCTGCATTGTCTCATGACCATCGGACTACTCAGACTACTGTCACCCAGCCCATCACGTCCCACATCCAACACCCAAAATAGGAATCAGAGCATGAAGCCAGATAGTCCCAAAGGAAAGCAAGTAACTTCTACTCCCTGTTGTGTTTGGACTGTGTTGGCCGCATTAAAGTTTAAACAGTAACTTGGGGTGTGATCTGAAAAAGAGTCCAGTGAGCCCAGGATTCCTAAGACTACACATCAGGAATTTGTTGCACTCAGGCGCCTATCAAATTATGCCCTCCCAAGGAAGGGGTCAGCACTCTGAGCTTGGAACCAGCTGCCAGGGCTCTGGGAATGGAAGGGACAGCCCAGTGGGGCAAGGGGCGGGGCTGTCACCTGTCAGCTCGGGTGCAACAGACCTCACCCAGTGCTTCCAAACCAGAGACATCTAGACCCTGGCAAGGTTCCCTCTTGCTTTGTTTTTTTGCAGTGTTGGGGACTAAACCCAAGGCCTTGCACATACTAGGCAAATATGTTCTACCACTGAGCTACACCCCCAGTTCCCTCTTCTCCACCCAACCTGGGATGTCTAAGTGCAAATAAAGGTGAACGCACTACAGAAACTCAGCCCTGAGCTCACCAAATAATAGGTTACTTGATTAAAAAGTCACAGCTGAGACTCTGAAATAGAATCCTCTGCATAACATTGAAAAAACAAAGCCCAGCCTCTGGGTGGTGGCTGCCAGAACTTCCTATGACAGGAAGCCAGGCTTCCTCAGGCTTCCCTGATGTCAGTTGGGGTTCACCTGGCCCCTCCCTGCTCCCCACAACCTCTCCCTGTCTTCTGCTCAGGCCCCTTCCTCAGAGTTGGCTAAGCCACCATTCTGAGTTCAAGTTCCTAACCTCAGTCAACTTGCTGATAAATATATCCTTGTATTATTCACTTAATAAGTTCCTTTAAACATGTATATCTTTCTCCAGAGCAAAAACAGTTATTTTCTGGTTATATAACTAATATATGCTTGTTGTAAAAAGGGCAAGCAACTTAAAAATATAAGGAAGACAAAAATCATCTGAAATCCTATTACCACGAACACATTGGTGACTCTCGATTTCTATCTCTTTATCCAAATGCACATACAATATGATTTTTATGTACACAAGGCAAACTTTTTTGTTCAAATAAATTCAAAAGTAAATGCTCTATTAGCATCATTAATATCAAACTCAGTCACCAGAATGATAGGTAACACCCTAAAACACAATGAAAAAACAAGGTGATTAAATATCTAGAAAGACTCCAGAGCCCTCCAAGGCTCCA